AAAAAAAAAAAAAAAAAGAAAGGTGGTTTGGGGCGGGGTAGATGAGGTGGGGCCATTTGGTGATTAAATGTGAGCTGACCTACAGATCTGCATATGAGCCTTCAGTCTGGTCTTAGCCCAGGCGGCCGCTTTCTTTTCCCATAAGGTCCTCCTGAGTTACTGAGGACCTGCCTGGCCTGAAGCCCCTCTGGGACCCTACCATCAAGACCAGGGTGCTTTTCTTGATTTGTCTGTTTGCCAAGATGTCCCTGTGATTTTCATGTGCAAAGTCCTCAGATCAGCAGAGACCTCATATTTTCCTCATATTACAGAAAAGTACCATTTGAAGGAGTAGGGAACACTGTAGAAAGCAGGGAAATGGGTTTGTGTGCCTTTGCGCCTCCATACTAGCAGGCCTCATTCCAAAACAGGATTTCCAATAGTGCCACCACATTCAGCTCCCTGAATGCTTCCAGACTTTCATTTCATCTGTTCAAGGGAATTATATCAGCAACTCTCCCTTCCTGGTGGGGGTACTGTGAAGAGCAAATGGGACAAGGAATTTGAAAGAAGGTTCCAAACAACAGGACAATACAAATATGCTTCATTACTGCCTCCTCTGTAAAACGGGAATAACGGCACGGAACTGCTGCGCAGTGATGTGTAGGTGAAGTTTAATTATGTAATGCCTGGGAACTAGCCCTGGAGAACACTGGGAAATAGATTTTACTGAAGTAAAGCCCCCAGTAAACAGCTACAGATACCTCCTTGTGTTTGTAGACACGTTCTCTGGATAGGCTGAGGCCTTCCCCACTAGGTCTGAGACCGCTTTAGTGGTCACAAAAAACTCCTACAGGACTTGGTCCCTTGATTCGGCCTGCCTTTAATGCTAGGATCGGACAATGGGCCAGCCTTCACGGCACAAATTTCTCAGAGCCTAGCCAAGGAAATTACACTGTGCCTATCGTCCCCAGAGTTCAGGACAGGTCGAGCAGATGAACTGGACCTTAAAAGAAACCCTAACAAAGTTTATCCTAGAGACCAGTGAAAACTGGGTCAGCCTGCCTCCTTTTGTCCTCCTCCGCGTATGACACACCCCCTATCAGAAAGGTTTCTCCCCCTTTGAAATCATGTTTGGCAGGCCTCCTCCCTACTCCCCAAACCTGCAGATACCGAGCAGGCAGAAATCCTTAACAGTACACTCCTTAAGTCCTTACAGGTGCTCCAGTCTGTTCAATCCCAGGTGCACCAGCTCATCAGAGACACTCGTCCCACACCAGTGGGCCTCACGGACCAACCAACACATTCCTTCCAGCCTGGAGACTCGGTCCTAGTTAAAAGATTCACCACCTCCGGCCTCACCCCCCATTGGAGAGGACCCTACATGGTTATCCTGACCACCCCCACCGCACTCAAAGTGGACGGACGAACAGCTTGGATTCACCACACCCACGCCAATACTGCCCCACCAGAAGAACAACGGAGCGTCGACCACACATCCCCGGACCTGCTAAAGCTAAGACTTGTACGCTCTTCGCAGCCACCACCCTTGCCTCCCTAACCCATGTTGTAAATTCCCATGGCAGACCCCCCCCCCACCTTAGAGCCTACTTACTTTCAATAGGTACTTACTGAAGGCTCCACTGGAGAATATGTCAGTGCTCGAACAGGCATGGATCCACCCTAGTCAACTCTACCCTTGAGCATTCCCCAAAAAGCCCCGTAACCTTCTTCCTAGATCTTTGTGATATTGTAGGCCCCAGGCTTAAAAAACCTCCATCAGAATCCCTCCCTACCATGCCTCATGCAGGACCTATAACTTCACGTAAAATAAAGAAAAATAGTTGGGGCTGTGGTAGTACACAGCAGGAAGAAGTTCTCCAGGGAAAGGGTCTTTACCTACACCCAGGCTCTGCTAGCCAACAGAGATGGAACTGTAAAAACTTAAATGAGTGCCTTTGCCCTCACTGGGGATTTAAGACCATCTCCACTATATCAGGATACACCAAAAACATATATTCCTTCATTTCTCCCCAAACCCATGCTCTGCCGCCGGCACTTGTAACCCACCCAAAATAACTATGCTCAACCCTGACAGTAGATGGAACACAGGACGTACCTGGGGTATCAAACCATATGTGTCAGGATGGGACTGGGGAAATAGTTTTACCATCCAGCGCACGGCCCCACCATGACCCAACCGCCCTATAGGACAAATTGCCGAAGTCATACGGCCCCCAAAACCTCTCCCCAAAACCCACAAATTCCATTCTCCTACCCTTCCTTCTCCTAACCTCACCCTTCCCACCATATCCCCATCAATAGCAACTCTAACCATAGAAGATTTAAACCTCCTAGATATGCTGTCCTCAGCACACCACCTACTTAGCCAGTCCAGCCCGAACTTGGGTGCAGACTGTTGGTTATACTGAAACTCGCAGCCACCTTTTTACACAGGCTTAGCAGCACAGCTGCCCATAACCCTCTCCAACATCCCCTGCTCTGAAACCAAGTTCCACCTGACCCTGGGAGAGCTAGAAGGAAAAGGTGAATGTTATCATTCCCCTAATTATCCCCTCACTAACTCCCCATACGCTGTAATAAAACCCTTCCCTTGAGCTACAACAGAACAACCCTTTACTGCCCCAAAATCATCTTAGCTAGCCTGCACTTTCAGTCCAACTGCATTTCACTTATCAGTTCAAAAATTTCTCTGACCCCGTACTGTGCACATCCTTATACATCTTGCCCCGTGTAAATATCTACAATGGACAAGAAGGTCCTACTGTTACTAGGACTTGTGTTTGGCCCTTGAGTTGCTCAAGATAATCCAGTCAAGAGTTAATTCTGTAAAACTAATGATCCTAAGATCCCAGTATGAACCCTTAAACCAAACTGACCAAATAGTTTTAATTGAAGAATAAATGATTTGACTCATGTACTAAATAACAGGAGGGAATGACATAGGCACAAAAAAAAAAAACAAAAACAAAAAGCTTAAGCACTGCCATCTTATAGAAAAGCCACCTGGGCCCTGAGCAGAACTGTTATTATATGGTAATTCTCAGAAAATGTTATTTTCTAAGGTTAAAAATTTTCCACCATTGCCCATTCCCTTGTAACAAACAGCTTGCCTTGCACAACCCCTGAGCCCCCAGGGAACAAGGATATGGTTTTACAGCTTAAATACCTTGCTCCCACTGGGTTCGGGGCCACGGGTTGGAGAGACCTGAGTCCTCCGTGGCTGCCAGCAATAAAAACCCTGCAATTTGGCATACTTTTGTCTTGATATTGATTTTCTTTGCTCGCTCTGGTGCAACAATACAGCACCTTTCTCGGCCTCTTACTACATTTCTGCTGCTTCTGTGGTTTACGGAAAATGTAACCCTTTCATTGTGTGTGTGTGAAAGAAAGAAGGAAACATTTGTGGTCGCATTGAACATCTGAGTGCTGACTGTGTGAGGGGCTGGAGGAAAGAGGACTTATCTGAGGACCGACTGACCGAAGCCTGCAAGTTTCCCCGAACGCAGCCGCTCCCGAGGCGTCTCTACGCGTCTCTACACTCACACAGGAAGACAGGAGTAACGGAGGGAGGAGCCTGGGAAGCGGGGGAGGCGTGGGAGCGGGACGGAGGGGCAGCCCGGAGGGAGCCGGCCAATCCGAGCGCGCTCCGCCAGCGACCAATCATGGGCCGCCTAGCCCGGCAAATCTGCCCGGCAGTGACGGGCGGGGCTGCCGGGAGTCGGGGTGCCGCCGGCTGCACTTCTGTGTGTCTTTCAGGAAGCCACAGGACAGGGGGCGTCTGTGCGGAGAAGCGGGGGTGGTGAGTAGCAGGCAGGCCCAGCTTGTGTACCAGCCCAGTGACATATATAGAAACATAAATCAGGCTAGAGCCGGCGCGCCCCGGGCGCGCACGTGTGTATGGACCCGCAGGCATGTCTGTACACGGGGTGGGCACCTGTCTTGTGAGGGGCTCCGGGCGTGGCTGCTCCTCGGACTTTCAGTTTTTTGTAAGATTCATCTCTTAGGGGCCTACCTTCCCCCATCTCCAGAGGAAAACGTAAGAAGTTTAACAGAGCTGGGACTGAGCAGATTAAGGGAGTGGAGCCGAGGCTGGGCCGGAGAGAGTGGGAACTGCGGGTGCTAGTGGGTAGGGATCCATCTGTTTGCCCCGTCTCCCAGCAAGAGAGGCATTTTGGAAATACTGGCGTGGCAAGCGTCGCCCTGAAACGTCCACAGAGCCCGAGAAGTGATGATCACTGAGTGAGTGGCACTGGGCTGAGACTGGCCAGTTTGTTAACGACAGGGATGCTAGCAGTTAGGAAGGCTAGGAGGAAACTCAGGATGGGGACCATCTGCTCCCCCAACCCCAGCGGGACAAAGACATCATCGGAGGTCTGCAATGCCGACTGGATGGCCTCGCTCCCCCCTCACCTCCACAACCTCCCCATTTCCAATCTGGCAATCCCAGGTATTCCTACTTGTTTCCACCGTGTTTAGTTCTGCCATTTTAGTGTTGTTAAGGGGTTGGGTTGCTTTTCTTTTGTGCTAGAAATTAATTGTCAGTGACCCCTTTTCATTTCCAAACCAAAAACTTAACACTGAAGCAGCTGCTTTAAAGAGATTTCCGTACGCTGCATCATTGGTAAAAGGACTCATGAGAATGGAAGCATCATTGTTTTTGCTTGTGGTTTTTTGTTTGTTTTTTGCTTATATTTGCTAGCCCCATTCTAAGAATATTATCCTTTTTAATGTTGTTATGTGTATGTGAGGGGTGCATTAACTTAAATCATTTGAAAGAGATATCAAAGGTAATGAATTAAAAGTCAAGAACTATTTTAGATCTGGATCAATATTTTCTTTCTCATTTATCTGACCTTGTGTATTGGATAAATAAAAAATGCATAAGCATTAGAGAATACGTTCAGAATCAGAACTGAGTATAAAGACACATTTTTGTTGTTAGAAAAGCCAGAATAGAAGATACTAACTCTCATCACCAGCAGTCACTAGGCGTGATGAGGTGGTGGTGTTTGAAGCTTTGTCTCTCTCTATATGTATGTATACAGGTGTCTGCCCGACTGATTTAGAGCTGCAGCCTTGCAAAGCACTTCTGCTCCAGCCACTGTCTCTCTGCTGGAGGTTTTATGGCTTGACATCATTTGTTAAATGTGTCCTCTTCCTTCCGCTCAGAAGGTGGTTAATGTATGATTTCTAGGGAAAGATATTTGGACAGTGAGTTTGGTCTGGTGTGCTGAGCATGTCCTACAGTGCTGCTACTGGAAAGCACTCCTAGAAGCAGGGGATGGACTGCTGCCAATTCTTTCTTTCACTTGGAGACACAACAATTGAAGTTCACCCCTAGACTACCAGACAAACTCCCAAGCATTCCCTAGACCCGTCTGGGTTTTTTTGTTTTTGTTTTTGTTTTTTTGTTGTTGTTGTTGTTTGTTTTGTTGTGTGTTTTTTTGAGGTTTGGTTGGTTTTTTGTTTGTTTGTTTTTGGTGGCTGAAAAGATGACCTCATGCAACTCCTGATCTTTGCTTTCTGTGCATGAGAAAGAGCAATGCTGGCTTCAAATGCAGGCTTTTCTTTACTCACCTCTTCTTTTGGATGTCTTCCAGGTTCATTGTCCTCATGGACTCAGGTTGCTTTTGAGCAAGGAGAGGGCTGCAAAATTTCTTTATAGTTATGTTACGTATGTTTTATCAGCCATTGACTACAGCTCCTTGGGAAATGCCAAATGGGCATGCTTCAGAACAGGTCTTTTCCATGTTTAATTGACGCCTGTGGAGTTGTCTCTGAAATTATGCTTGGGCCACTTTTAACATTAGTCATTTGCCTTCAGGCCTTCTAATGGAATTATTTTGTTGAGTGATACGGCAGGTAGTATGTGTTTGCAAATAGAATGGCATCTTATGCAGGCCCTAAATGGCTGTGTCATTCAGGGCATGTCCGGGGTAGGTTGGGGCTTCCTCCTTCCTTGTTGTACTTTGGACAGCTCAAACCATAACAGCAGCTCTGCTAGTGGCTTGGCTTGGCTGTGTATTCTGCCTCTGTGACTGGAGAAAGGAACTGGGCATTTGTTCTGTGATCCTTAGGATATGTTGCAGTTACTAAACTTGCTGGGGTAGCGGGGAGCAAATAGCTGGGACCTACTGCTGAAACTGGAAATTATATGATTAGCCGCCATGGGGATCACAAGATTTTTTTTACCCTGCTTTGTGAAGTCTGGTTCTGCTAAGCAAAAAGAAAAAAACAATGGCCTTGACTCCTCAACAGATGCTAAATTCACTATTATGAAATGCTATTTTCTCAGCAGTGGAAGGGACATTAAGTGTATGTATGTGTAGGCTCAAGACAGGAAAATCACATATTAAATGCTAGCCATTCATGGACTTCCCCCTACTAGTTCTCTTTTCTCTACCTTGAGCTTAATACCGGATAAATACTAGCAGTCAAGTTCTATCAATCCTTGCTGAGAAACCCTGAAATATAGAAGGCATTTAAGAAATGGGGGCCACCATCGTCCCCCCACTTCCTCTCTAACTCTTCCCTCTTATCATCCTCTGCATCATAATAGCTGTTATTTTGCCGAGCACTAGCACGCAGCACCCATTGGTGTACATTACCTCCAATCCTCATAACTCCATAAAGTGGGTATTAACATCTTCAGTTTAGAATTAAGGAAATTATTGTTCAAAGAAGTAATTTTCTCAAGATCACACAAATAGTAAGTGGTAGAACTTGTATTTAAGCCCCTGTGGAGCTGCAAAACCCAGGCACTGTCTCTGTGCCCCTGAAGGGTCCTTGGGAGTGGCAGAGCAGTGGAGTAGTCCCTAACTGAAAGCCAGTTTCTTCAGACCATCCTCTGCAGTGAATGAAAGAGGTTTTCAAAGCAAGTGGCATTAATCTAAGTGATTATCACTTCGAATATATAGGTACATATATACATATTATATGTACATATATGTAGATATATACATATAGTTGTGAATTGTGATATATGTAGATATATACATATTATATATACATACATATGTACATATATACATATTATATATACATATGCCTGTTTAGAATTGGAATGCAGTAACTTTTAAATTCAGTTTGAGTGCTTCAACCTGTTTTGCATGTGTGTGTGGGGGGGGGCGCATGTGTGTGTGTGTGTGTGTGTGTGTGCGCACGCACACACCCACATGCCCAATCTGGGACATCTATAGGTCAGAGTCAGATCTATCAGGATGGTGATAGGGCAGCGAGGACATAGAAAAGGGGAGGGAAAAGATAAGCCTTCTGGCAATAATAGCAGAACTGAGATGGAGTAAACTATGTCACATTTGAGTGCACCTGCTGCATTTGCCTGTCATGATGGGAGAGAACATGTGTGAATGTGCACCTCTCAACAGAGCCTTGGTGTATTATTTTACTTCCGCAACTGTTAAGAACACCTGTTAATGACCAGTACCAACAAACATATTAAAATATCTTGGAGAAGAAACTCAAAATAATTCTCATTGCTATCTGTATAGAATAATTTGATGTCTGAAGGATAAAGGATCCAGACATCACAAAAGTCAGACTTTTTAATTAAAGCTTTAAACTCTACAACATTTTCACTGATGTTTGTGAAAGCATGATATTCTCTGTGGACAAATGGACTAATGGGAAAAACATTTCTCTATAATGTATACTGCTTTTCAATAAATTGTTTTCTCTGTACATTTTAATGCTATTCCATTTTTTTTTAAATGCACTCTTTCTTTCTTATTAAAGGTAAACTAGTTGGTTTACACTTGGGGAAGCTTCTATTGGGAAGAGCCTTGAACTTAAGGGTTGTGAAACTTATTGTTGATTCTTGCCATGTAATATTGAAGTATTCAAATTTCTCAGGACATAGTTTCTTCATTTGTAATTAAGATATTGGGTTAAATTAAATATAGAGTCCTTTCCAGATTAAAAATTATATGATTAATTTGAGGTTTTTTGTTTTATTTTGTTGCCTGTTCTTTGTCCAATGTAGAAAGAGCTGGAAGGAATGACTGGGTCATTTTAGGTCTAAAAGCTATTTGTTGTATGCCTCTTCAAAACAAGAAAATGTACAAACAAGGATTCACAATTGCCAGAAGGAAGCAGGGTCTATTCACTTTAGCCTCTTAAAAGGGGCTGTAGATTACTTGATGTAAATGAACTTTTACCTCACCAGACCCTAAGTGCACTTTAAGAAACCTCTATAGATATATAGATATAGATCTGTATATATGTACCTTCATCATACAGTTTTTTTTTTAAAAAAAAGCAAACTAATTAGAAAAAATTTTAAATCAGAAACACAAATAACACGTTACGGAAGCACACAGAATGGAAAGACTAATTCCAACTTCTGGAATTTGGAATTAATTAAGAACTACCTTGTTGAGAGAATATCATTTGATCTAGAATTTGAGGAGTGGTCAGGATTTCAAGGGATATGGCTTGAGGGTCAGGGTTGGGAAGGGGGATTTCCAGGTGGAATTAACCAATTGAGCTAGTAAATGGGGGTATGTGAGGGAACTGGCTAGAGGACACTGTCTCTGGTCCCTCTATATCCCTGTTACAGTATCTTTGTCATAGTACTTCTCAACACATTGTTATTTTTAAGTGTATGTTTTTCCCATGTGAACAACTTGTCAATGGAAAATATCTTATTTTTCTTTATAATTCTAAATCCCAGTAGAAGGTAGCAGCGCAGTCATTGGTGACAGCTGAGTGAATAATTGAAAGTATGGAAAGTCTGGAATAAGAACGCTAGAATCATGGTTTGCAGCCGCCATCATTTTTCATTGTGATCAGAGCTGAACTGAGTAGATTGGTTAAATTCAGCTTTCACCAATAGCCACATTAAACTATATGAAGATTTTCCAATCCATTTCTTCTTATTGCACATAATATTCCTGAAGATTAGGCTTGACAAGACTCATCACTAAGCCCCCATCAGAAATGAAAATTTTGAGGCCAAGTGAAATGGTCACAAGAGTCAGAAGCAGAGCGCTGGTGTAACTTCTTTTCTAAGAACAGTTCTTTCACCCACCATCGCCCTACCTTCCTTCTTCCTGTGTCAAATTAGGGCTTCTCATCTTTGCTGCCTGGCTGCTGCCTCTCCCAGATCCCATTTCCTGTTCCCCTCTTTGCCTTCTTTCCACTGACCTGACCTGGTCCCCAGCCTTCCCTTGCCAGGGTCAACCTTCCACAGGTGCTCCTCACTGCTCTCCGATTCCCAGATGATTCTCTGTTCTCATGTTGCTAGTGATCATTCTCTTCTCTTTTTTTCTACCTTTCTGGAATCCTCTCCCTTTCTAGCAGTTTTGCCCTTGAGCACTTGGAGATTCCTACAGGTCTTGTTCCTGCAGCCCCCACAGCCCCTTCCCACATGTGTGACATGGAGACAAAATCACTTAATGGAGCAGGATGGAGTCATTACTCTGATCTTGC